CGCGCCCGTCCTGGCCCGGGCCCGGCAACGGGATCGCAAGCCTCGGTGTTGCTCCCGCACCTCGCTCAGCCAGTGAGCGGCTGGTCTGTATGTGGGATCCGAACCCTCGGCGGGAGCGCCGCCACACTCCCAAGCGGTGCACTGTAGCAGTGCGCCACCGGGCCGCCCCAGTCATGCATGTTTTAATACAAAGGAAGGTCACAAAAAAATGCTCAACGAAAATATAATTTTTTGACCACAGCAGGCCAGTGATTCCTAATCATGAAAAGCCTCCACCAAACAATCCCCAAGGATTTGTATTCTGTCTATATAAAAGCCTATGGTAAAAAGAATGATTCTAAGTGACTGTCAGATGATAAGCCTGCTTTGCCCAGTGTGGCTTTATGACCAAAGTCTCGGCTGACCTGTCTAACAGACAGGTGACGATGCTTTCTGGGGATGGTGTTCAATGGGGCTGGTGAAAAGGGGACTTCAGGAGGCCCCACACCCAATTCACCTTCCCCATTAGCTGGCCTTCTTGCCAGAACCTAGAGGACAGCTTGCTGGGCTTCAGGGATTTGACATCGTTAGGACATCCTTCAGATGTTACAGGTGACACCCCAGATGTTTCCTTCTCTGGCACCTAGCTGAAGTAGATGAATGGGCAAAAGAGGCCTCGGGCAGGGCCCTGTGGGGAGGACACAGTGATGTGGAGGCCGGGCCCGCAGCAGAGGGCAGCAGGCCCTGATGTCACCCGCCCATCTCGCTGTTCAGCCGCTGGCTGGCTAAGAACAGGTCAAGGAGCTGAGGGAGCTGCGGCCCTGGAGCAGCTGCCACCACAGGGCCCATTGCTGGCAGACCAATCCGACAAGCGCTACGGTCAGTCTGTCCCTTCTCTGTCAAGAACCATGGGGCATTACTTGTACCATCCAGACTGAACCCCAGAGCCAGCTTTTAGGCTCTTCTCAATGCCCTGTGTTATCTCCCGCTCACTCCCTCTCCTGTGCTAGCCCACCTTGTGTCCCCCAGGCTCCACTCCCAAGCCACCAAGGCCTCTGAACTCCACCCCTCACCAAGGTCTTCCTGCCTCCAAAGTCCCACACCATCACCTGTTTTTCAGGTCACCTTCATTGGCGATTAGCTGTTTAGGGCTTCCTCATAAATCATTCTTCACCTTTGATTACTTAGGATGTGGGATTGAATGGGGTTTGTGGCTGTATAGACCTAATGATCCCAAGGGTAAGGATCCTGTTCTATACCCCTCAAGTGTCTCTCTTAGAAAGGTGACAATGGGAGGGGGCTTTAGGTAGAAGGGAAATTGGAATGGAAAAAACAGTGTCTTGAAGACACCAGCAATGGATAACGACATTGCCCCAGTCCTGAGGAGGTCTACAGGGATGTGTGTATGTGTGTGCATGCACGTGTGTGTGTGTGTGTGTGTGTGTGTGTGTGTGTGTGTGTGTGTGTGTGTGTGTGTGTGTGTGTGTGTGTGTGTGTGTATGTGTGTGTGAGAGAGAGAGAGTTCTTGCAGTAAGACAGTTAGAAGATCTGGGTTCCCCTATAAATGACTTTACTTCCCCCCTTCTCAGTTTCGTTGTCTACAAAATGAGGGGGCTATGGGGATGCATACAGTGTCACTTTCAACTCTCTGACTTTATCTTCTGAGACTTTTTTTTTTTTTCCCATGTCCAGCAACAGATCGCAACCCTCAGTGTCGCGCCCGTACCGGACCGGGACCGGCAACGGGATCGCAACCCTCGGTGTCGCGCCTGCACCTCGCTCAGCCAGTGAGTGGGAACCGGTCTGTACGAGGGATCCGAACCCTCGGCGGGAGCGCCGCAGCGCTCCCAAGCAGCGCACTGTAGCAGTGCGCCTCCAGGCCGGCCCTTTATCTTCTGAGACTGCGGCCATCCTGGGATGCCCATCGCCACATGCAGGCCTGTGGATGCCCGTGTGCGCGTCCTCTGTGGCCCACAGCTTCAGCGCTTCAGAGATTTCATGAAAATACTGTCCTGGGGTGGCTGTAACAAATTATCACAAACTGGGTAGCTTAAAACAATGGAATCTTTCACAGTTCTGGAGGCCAGAAGTCCAAATCAAGGTGTCATCAGGGCCACACTTCCTGTGAAGGCCTAAAGAAGGATGCTTTCTGGCCCCTTCCAGCCTCTGGTGGCTGTCAGCAATCCTTGACGTTCCCTAGCTTGTAGCTACAGCACTCCAGTCTCCACCTGTGTCTTCACATGGCTGTCTCCCTACTGTGTCTCCTCTGTCTCCAAATATCCTTCTGCTTATAAGGACATCAGTCACTGGACTTAGGACCCACCCAAATCCAGTATGACATTACCTTAACATGATTACATCTATAAAAACCCTATTTCTGGGCCGGCCCGTGGCTCACTCGGGAGAGTGCGCTGCTGATAACACCAAGGCCCCGGGTTCGGATCCCACATAGGGATGGCCGGTTCGCTCACTGGCTGAGTGTGGTGCTGACAACACCAAGTCAAGGGTTAAGATCCCCTTACCAGTCATCTTTAAAAAAAAAAAACAAAACAAAAAAAACCCCCTATTTCTAAATAAGGTCATATTCTGAAGTTCAAGGAAGGACACGAACTTTTAGGGAACGCTATTAAACCCAGTGCAAACAGGAAATGTCACGAGAGTCCCTGTGATGGCCCTGTTAGTGGCAAGTGCTCCACAGGCATCTTGTGCTTTACCCTTTGAAATAGTCCTGCTCCTATAGTGGTTCTTCTACAACTGTCCTATCCATAGTTTCCTAAATGAAAACAAAGAATGGTTATATTCGTAATATGTGTTATCTCCCGCTCACTCCCTCTCCTGTGCTAGCCACCTTACCAGTCATCTTTAAAAAAAAAAAACAAAACAAAAAAAACCCCCTATTTCTAAATAAGGTCATATTCTGAAGTTCAAGGAAGGACACGAACTTTTAGGGAACGCTATTAAACCCAGTGCAAACAGGAAATGTCACGAGAGTCCCTGTGATGGCCCTGTTAGTGGCAAGTGCTCCACAGGCATCTTGTGCTTTACCCTTTGAAATAGTCCTGCTCCTATAGTGGTTCTTCTACAACTGTCCTATCCATAGTTTCCTAAATGAAAACAAAGAATGGTTATATTCGTAATACTGGCATTTTTAGTTCTGTGTAGAACCTACAACTTTTCAAACACTTTCCCATATACTATTTCGTTTGGTCCTTACAACAGTCTCATGAAATTAACAAGACAGATTGTATAGTCCTTGGTTAATAGGTAGCAAAGCTAAGGCTCAGAAAGGGTAAGCAATTTCCCCAAAATTACACATCTCACACATGCAGCAGAACCCAGACCTGTGAGCTTTAAGCTCATCGTTTTTCATGTTGTTGCCGAGATTATAAGTCTCTACCTGCAAACTCAGTGGCACTAGCACCAGGAATCCGGACTCATGGTACTTTATCCATGCGTGGCCACTGTCCCAAAGAGTGAAAACTGTTTGGTCCTTACAACAGTCTCATGAAATTAACAAGACAGATTGTATAGTCCTTGATTAATAGGTAGCAAAGCTAAGGCTCAGAAAGGGTAAGCAATTTCCCCAAAATTACACATCTCACACATGCAGC